TTCCAAGAGAAGTGCATGGAGAGTTCAGAAAAAAAGGGGTAATAATGCTTATATTCAAGCCATTAAGGATATGTATCAGGAACTATTACTTGTGTTCAAAACAAGGTGGTTTAACCAATTATTTCCTATTGTAGTTGGATTACATCAAGTCAGCCTTAAGCCCATATCTTTTTGCTTTAGCCATGGATTTTCTTACTAACATTTGCAAGATGTTGTCATGGTGTATGTTTTTGTTGAGATATTCTTCTTGTTGATAAAACTAGAGAGCAAGTTCAAGATAAACATACTTATGGAGGTCAACTAGAGTCTAAAGATTTTCGTTTGCGTAGATCTGAAATCAAAATACATGGGGTAATTTTAGCAGTAATAGATCTAGTGGGGGTTGTGACTTTAAAGTGATCAAGTCATTAATAAGATTACACGTTTTAGTGTCTTGGGTCTATGGTTCAAATAATGGTGAATATAGATGGGGATATATTACGTGAATTCAAGTTGGTTGGTTGAATGAAGGAATGCATTCAGCTTTTGTGGATTAAAAGTCCCCAAATTAAGGGAAATTCTATAAATGGTGGTGGAGCTCAATGCTTTATGGCCAAACAGAATAATCAAGTTAAGTTTGGAGATGAGGATGCTCAGGTGGATGAGTGGTTTTACTCTTAGAGACGTGATGCATAACGATATCATTATAAGTGTAATAATTGTTGTAGTAGCTCAATCTGACAGATAAGATAGAGAGACTCGGCCTTCTCGGATTGGTTTTTTACATAAAGTGCTGTTTTCCCGATGACCGGTTAGGAATTATTGTAGATTTATCGATTTGGCTCTTGTTTAATGAAGGTAGAGGTAGACCTAAAAGAGACCTTTTATAGAATATATTAGAAAATAACCTTTCTTATTAGATTTAAATGAGGATGTGACTCTTAACATGACTACAATGGAGAAAAGGATTCATGTAGCCGACTTTTCTTCCACATAGTGGAATAGTGATTATGTTATTATTTATTGTTGTTGATGGCTTTTTAAGGTGTGCAAATTGCATAGGAATGAATAGTAATGACTTCGTTCATAAAACGGACCCCAAACACGGGTACATAATTTGCTTATGAATTAAAGGGCTTGTCCAACACTTCCCATAGATAGTTGATGGATGCAAAGCTACATAGAAATTTCGTTGATTCAAAAAGGCCATTAAGCCATTCATTCCAACAATAATTCGGCACTATAGCGCCACATAATTTTCAGGATGACAGATTCAACATCCATTAGCACACAAGACCTTAGCAAAAGACATCTAGTACTTTTTTTCATATTAATGTAATTGAAAAAACATTTCAGTTCTGCCACAAAACGTCCAGTGAAGTGTAAAAAGTGTTTCTATATGGTTAAGAATTAAACTTCTTATGTTAGACATCAGTTAAAAAACTAGTTGAGCAAACAACACAACAACAACATCAACGCATTTCCTACTATGTTGGGATGCTAGCATGAATCCTTTTTTCGCATTGTGTCCGGTAAAGTCAAATTTTCATTTAAATCTAATAAAGGAAATCATTTCTAATATTTTTCTAACAAGTCTTTTTTAGTCTACCTTGTCACGACCCGGCTCCGGTTAGCTTCGAAGTGCGAAGGCTCTTTGGAACAGAGATTCGGACATGAAGAAACTAAAAGGGACCATTTCGGACATTAATATAATTCCAAAATAAAGCATCATATCAAGAAAGAGCCACTAAGATTTCTCAAACTAAACTTTTTCTTTCCAAGATCACCAATCATAAGTGTTTTAGCCTTTAAGATTACAAAAAAGTATAAAAGGAACTTCACATGTATAAACTTTTTTCTTTCTCTTTTCATTCAATCCTTCACTACAAAACACCAAAACACAAAAGAACCTGTCCACTTAGCCCGTCGTCTCCCTCACGACGGTAAGTCGCGGTGGTTATTGGCCATTTATCCTCTTCCTAGCTCTCCTGAAAAGTTTCCCACAACTAGGTGAGTTTTACACTCATAGCGAGATTATGGAAATTTCAATTAAACATAAACTTCAATGAGAGAAACTTTAACAATACTTTGGGAAAATTTTAACAGAAAGAATCATTGATCATTAAAATCAAGATGTGCTCAAAGAAAAGCTATATGACCTTTACCTCAACTTTTCAAATGCATTATTCCATTTCATAACCTTTTTCCTTTCTTTCTTTTTTTTTAAAACCAATGCTCAAAGGATAATCTTCATTTGCACTGTAAACATGGTGTATGAAACATTCAGATAATAGCTTATTATGCATATAACTATATCACCCGTCTCAGGAGTATCAACTTGTACTGATCAGGTAATTAATAAATGGCCATTTCCTTTTCATTGGTTGCATAAGAACCATCTTTTCGATCCTGGCTCACAAGATGCCTCCTTTCCATGGCCTCAAAGAGCTCCTTTTCCATGTATACTCCCGCGTCAACATGCACATACAGTTTAGTTTATATAATCAAAAGAGATGCTCAATGTAGAATCTATCCATAAACTATGCAAGTGTATGTTTTCAAAGATGTGTATGCTTGCTATGCTTGCTATGCTTGTATGAACATTGCATGTAATGTAGAGAAATCATGTTTTAGTAGCAATGTTGGAATGAGTATGTAATCCAATCATAAGTTGAGCATTTCATAAGGGAAACATTTGTAATTGCCTCAAGTATCCATAAACTTACAAAAGAAAGTTAAGACATAAGAGTTCAAATGGCATAAATAATTTGGCAATTTCTATGCAATTCAATGAAAATAAAAGTTGTCTAACATTTAAAAGAAAAATCCATTCCCACCTACCTCAATCTCTTTAATCCTTTCTTTGCCCATCAACTCTTTCTTCCACTCAATTTATATCTAAAAGAAATAATTAAAGAAAACATTAGTGACTAATTCCTACGCAATAAACTAGACCTTAACTCTAAAGAAATAAATATGACATTTCTATGTTTTGCTTAATTCTTTCAAAAAAACACCCTTCCCTATTTTCATGGAAATCTCTCAACCCCTTTCTTCTCATTAAAATTTAGGCCAACACTTTAGATTCTAAACATACAACACCCTTCCTTACCTTCAAAACATCCTTAAAATAATTAAATTTTCGGAATTAATAAATCAAAAATTAAAAATATGGTTTTCATGCAAAACTCATATATTTGCTTCTAAAATTCCTCCCCTACAACTACGAAAACCGGTGGGGATCAAAAATATCATGATTGGGGAAAAACCCTAAATCCATAAACTCAAAAATTTCGTCGTTCATTCAATATTTTTCAATTAGAAGCTTTCTTAGGTTAATAGGAACCTCATTTGTGAAGACATTTCCAAAGGAAACAACTTTAAGCAAAATCCCAAATTTCCAAAACTCATATTTTTATGAAAAAGATGCACATTAGGGTTTAGAAACATCCTCTTATCCTTCTAAACTTTTCTCAAAAGATCTCAAAGAAAACTCAAGTTTTTCTCAAACCTAGAAATCTTCTCTCTCCAAAAATCTTAAGAATGAGAGGGAAAACCTAGTTCTATTGCATACCTTCAACTTCTTAAGCTCCTCTCGATTTCCTCAAGTTTCTCGCCGGAAAAAGTCCCGGAGCCGGCCGTCACTCTAGCCCGACGCCCCTACCCGTCCGCCTCTTCCTCTCTTCCGCTCGGTTTGGATGAAAAGGGCGAATGAGGGAGAATGGGAGGGGTCGGTTGCCTAATAGGGAGAAATGGACATGCCAAAAGACTTCATGCCCTCACTTAAGTAGATTTGGCTTAAGAAAGACTTAGGGGGGATTGGCATTTCTAACCTCCAAATTCATATCTCCGTAAATACTCTAATAAATATAGGTTCTTATATAATGAAAAGCGGATCAGAATTTACGCTCTAATTCTTCAAATGTTTCCCATGAAATCCCGACAACTTCACAAATTTTCCACTTAACCTGTCCGCGGCGCTTTGAAAAAGCGTGCGCAGGTCTTAGACGGCATTTTCGGGTTTTACACTAACCTCTACCTTTTTTAAAATAAGTCAAATCTAATACTCAACTTTCTAACCGGATGCATCGGAAAGGCTCGTTTAAATGTACAAACCATCTAAAGGCGACTCTCTCTAATCTATCTTCCACTGGAGCTACCCAACCTTTTCCACGTATATTGCGAAGCGGGCAAAAAAATATAGGCTCCCTTATTTTTCTTGGTTAATATATGCCACTCACATTTAATTAACACAAATAACCAAGCATTAAAAAAGCTAGAAAACTTCCCCCCAAGTCTTCGGTTTTATCACCCAAACCAGGAACCCAAGAAGACAGCCACCGGAGACAAGGGACTGCTAAGCGGACCGAGTGCCACAGCCGCGGGAAACGGGAACCCGGCACTGGACCAAGAGCCACGGCACGGGAGAATGAGCCAGCCGTGAGATCCCAGAACCACAAAAACTAAAAGGGCCAGGTGGAATTCAAGGAGCCCCATGGAAAAAAGAAATCTTGGAATTCCAAAAGGCCGGTTTGGAATCCAAGAGACAACATAAAAAAGCATAAAATTATATAGTTAAAGAGATAATCTATGAGCTAAAAAATCCTAGCTAATATAGCTAACCCCTCAGTTCAATAAATGAACTTTAGCAAAATACCTCATCCACCTTTGTTGAATATCGTCTTCTAAGAACAGTACTTTTTGATCTTCATCCTTAATACACTTTACTAAATGGAGTTTGATGCAAACAAGCACTTCTAGTGTCTAGACAAGGGACTCTAGTGTAAACATCTCTTCTGAAAGGATGCGTCTTGAAGAAGTAAAGAAATTACATGGTCATATATGGTATCTCTTGGAAGTGGAACTAACCAATATTTCCAATAATAAGACTGAAAAAATTAGTAATTCTATCTGAAAAACATATAAACCCACAAAAATCGGCAAAATAGTTGAGGTACTTGAAAGGATTACCGGAAAGCAAGGACAAAATAACTACTTTTATAATAATATAGATAACTCACAGGCTTACAGCTTATTGGCTGAGCTTCAACAGCACGGATTGATTTACAAAGTTTGATTGATAGTGTAGATGATGCATCACCAGAACCAGCAGGTCCCTGTAGAAAATTCACCAATATGTCAGGAAGAGGTGTAAAGACAGAATTTTGGAATGAACAGAGCATATTTCCATGGAAAAATATATGCAAGAAAGAAAGTTACAAAAAATTACATTAAAAAAAAAGCTGCACTATCATTACAAATACTTGAAAGAATTAAATAAGACGACGATCAGTTCAGCATTTACACAATGTAGAGAAGTTTCAAGCAAGAATAATTTATCATTAAAACTACATATCAAAAACACCTGCAAAAAACAACTTTATCATGTCAAGTAAAGCATATCCGAAACATTTATGTACCAAAAGAAATATAAAATCCATGCCTCATTTTAATGCAACGATTTAAGAGTAGAAAATAGTGTTGTAAAATACACGCAGCAGTAACAAGATATATAAAATAGATTGCCTTGAAAATGTTGAAACCGTAAAGACGCATGGAAGATCATACAAACTTGCATTAGCGCTAGGGGGGATTTCAGTGAGAATTCATGCCAAAACAGTTGTATAAAGTGTAAATGAATAAGTTCAGTCACACATAAATGAATAATTCATTCCAAGACAGTTAAAAATATTGTCAAAACCCATTTGAAGTTTCTTGAATGAGAATATATTCAATGGATTTTAAATGCCATGTAGCATTGTTGTAAATGGAGGAGAGAAAGATGTGAAAAGCATCTGATGCGCCCACTGTTTCACAATTTTTCCAATTTTGCATCTTACTTCATTTCTCTTTCTCTTTGCCAAAAAGCCACAGAAAATGTAAACATGTTTCATCAATAAAATGCGCAAATCCAGCTTGAATTATTCATTTATTACTCAGAATTTGCTGAATAAAATTTCTTTCTCTACTCTACTTGGCAACTGCACGAAAGTGACAAGTGTTCTATCAACCTCTAAAAACAATGTGACGTTGGATCTTTGAGCCCCAGCAGATTTCTACCTCTCAAGTTTGCTATATAGTCACTTTCTTCCTTGATCATATCCTTCAAGTTCTTTGATTTATAAGAAACATGATTCTACTTTTAACTTTTATTGGTTGACTTAATGAGATCCTCAAAATTTTCAGCAAACTTTTCTTAACTTGATTGATATTTTCAGGGTGCATTCATTAAAAGATACTTCGGATAGCATTGTAGCCGCTCACGAATTTATCCATTCTATCATCATCATCATCACCATCAGCAACAAAAAGCTTTTATCCCACTAGATAGGGTCGGCTATATGAATCCTTTTTCCCCATTGTATCATGTTAAGAGTCAAGCTCTCATTTAAATCTAATAAAAAAAAAGTCATTTCTAATATTTTCTAACCAAGTCTTTTTAGGCCTACCTCTACCTTACGGACAAGACCCTACTTATCATACGTCACCCTCAGTATCTATCAGTCCCAAAATTATTTTTCTACACATTGAAGATGTTTCAAGCGTCAGAATCAATTTTTTAAAATCTTTTTTGATTTATCTTGTAAGTTATAAGGATAAAGGATTATCTATAGCTAAAAGAGTTGCACTCTTAAACCTCTCCCTTCTAAATACCTAGGCCTTCGTTTATTTTCTAAAGCTTTGCAGGAAGAAAATTAATCTGGTCATCGAAAAAATCCAGAGAAAACTCTCATCTTGGAAATTCAATTGTCATCCAAACGTGGCCAAATTGCCCTAATTAACTGTGTTATCATTAAACCCTCTGTACTAATCTTTCTTCTTCTTTTTTCCCTATATGGGTTCTTAGAAAAATCAAAAGAACTAGAAGGAACGCTTTTGTGGAAAGGCAATGATGTTAACAGAGGCTCAAGTTGGTTCATAAGAAAAACCATTTGCAGAGCAAAACAAATTTAAAGGATATGTTTAAGAGATTCCACACTATAGATATTTCACTTTAATTTAAAATGGATTTTGGTAGCTACTCAGGTTGACATTAACTCCTTTGTTAGTTTAATCATCAAGCCTATGGGATACAATTTAAAATGGATTTTAGTATGTATTCAGGCTGGAGCCTTTTGCATTTTAAAATTATTTGTTGGACTTCGAATGTATAAGCCTATGGGATATAATTATAGAAGAGGTAGATCAAAAGGATGAGCCTATCATAGGTGAAGCCCAAGACCCACCTAGAAGCTAGAGCTTGAAGATTCCATAGGCAAAATCTGTAAAATATTTGACTGCGTTGAATAATAGCAGGCAACTCAATTGTCAACCATAATTATAATAATTTGGCCATTCTTTACCTTTCTATTTTTTGGTTGATTTTATATATACAAAAAAAATTTGATTGTTTACAGAGTGCGTATTAGAAATGTATGTTTTTGTAGAATTCTTCTTCTACCGCTTGGGGGTGGCATGAACTTTTGTGATGCGGTAAACTCTTAAGATCAAACAAAATTTTCTACCAATTAAAATGTAAGCAATTTAAAATCAATCATTGGAATTATCATTTTTCAAGTAAAAGGAAATTTTACATGGCTCCTTCCAAGGAGGCAAGTTTTCAAAAATTAAAATGAGCATGCATGACCAGTGTGTCTAATATAAAAAGACGTCACTTAAGGACCAAATAACAAAAATCTGTATTTTTGTGAGTCAGCTTGTGCATACCCGCATAATCAGGTATATTAGCCTAAAAGCCAAGTTGTAATTCCTATCCTCTTAAAAAATAGATTTTCCTACTCTTCATATGCATTGAGACCAGACAACAAGATTTAAAAGTGATTAGGTGGATTTAGCTAGTAACTCTTTCCAAACAGGATAATAAATCCAAAAGTCGGGCTGACTATGCCTCATGTGATGTGTAGTTCATAAGGCCCTTGCACTATGTTAAGTTTAGGTTCGAGGCACTACCCTTTAGTAGTCCTCATCTTAGCTCTAGGGTCCGAGGACGTTGTTGACTTCAGTCACTTCATAAGTCCTCACCTTCAAGACATTTTCTTTAACAGGTGTTGTTAGAATATAATCCTCAATGTTCTAAATTAAAATAATCAACTTAAACAAAAATTTGATTTTAAAATGCAAAGCCCAATATAGGATAATTTGATTACCTCCTCAGAATTAAGTACTCCTACATTCTCATTCCCTCCCTTTGGCTCTCATTAAAAATTTTGATTTAACGTTGATCTTACCTCCCTTGAAATTCCTAAAGATTAAATCTTTGAACAAGAATTTCATAAATTTTAAAATAAAAAGATTAGCAAATATTTTAATGACTCTCAAAAAAGAAATCATAATGTTAATCAAAAGTGTTCTCAAGTAATAAATGATTGAGATGTAATTAACTATAGGAGTTTGTTGTAAAACCCGAAAACTGTCGAACGGATGTATCGCACGCACTTCGATGCGCCAAGACGAATTTAGGCAAAATTTCGAAGTCGTCGGAATTCGACACAATAAATTTTATTAAATTCTACGAGAAATTTCGATTGAAATTGTATAAAGAACGTATACTTAATTTCGCACAGCTTGGAAATTAAAAATCGCCGAAGAGGATTAAATAAATTTAGCCCTTTTATACCTTTTTTGCCCTTCATGAGATAAAAGAGAATTAATGAGAAGAGGGGAACATGCGTAATTTACTGCCTAATATTTCCTAAAATCCCTCATAAAATTAGGGACCAATTCATTTGGTCCCTTGCCCTTTTATTTCGGCCGAACGAAGGGAGGCGGGCGGAAACGAGAGAGAGGGCGACGCGAGGGCTTGATGAGCGGCGGCCGGTGGGTTTCCAATGGCGGTTTAGAGGAGAAATCAAAGGCAAAGTCTAAGGTATGGTTTCCTAAAGACATTTCAAAGCTTTTCATGTGATTTTCCTTGGAGAAAATTCTAGGGTTTCTTCCAAATGTTGTTTTCTCCAAAATCTCTTTACAATAAAGATTTCCCTTACTATTAGAAACATTTTTTATGCTTGCAAATCAAACTTTCATGGGAAAAATGTTAGGTTCCAAAATTAGGGTTTCTTTTAAAAATGATATTTTTATATAAGAATATTGTTAGGAGATGTTTAGAAGCAAGTTTAAGAAAGAAATTGAATTTTGTTTCTATAGATTTTTGGAGTTTTAAATTATGGCTTTTCCTAATTTTGTAAATTGAAGCTTGCATGTTAACTAAATTTATTCCTAAGGGTCATAGGAGGTTTTCATGGATGTTCTCACAAGACATTTGCAAGAGGATGTACCTTGGTGTATGCTTTTTGCTGATGATATTCTTCTTATTGATAAGACTAGAGAGAGAGTTGAAGGTAAACTTGAATTATGGAGGTTAACCTTAGAGTCTAAAAGTTTTCGCTTGAGTAGATCTAAAACGGAATATATGGAGTGTAATTTTAGTAATAATAGACCTAGTGAGGGTATTGTGACTTTGGGCGATAAAGTCATTAATAAGAGTACACGTTTTAGATATCTTAAATCTATTGTTTAGAGTGATGGTGAAATTGATGGGGATATTATCAGCAGAATTCAAGTTGGATGGTTGAAGTGGAGGAATGCATCGGTCTTATTATGCGATAGAAAAGTCCCCCTCAAACTTAAGGGAAAATTCTATAAGATGGTGGTGAGACCAGCAATGCTTTATGGTGTCGAATGTTGGCCATTAAAAGAGAAGCATAATACAAAGTTAAGTATTGCAGAGATGAGGATGCTTAGGTGGATGAGGGCTTGACCCTTAGAGATATGATATGAAATGAGCATATACGTGAAAAGGTTGGAGTAGCTCCAGTGGAAGATAAGATTAGAGAGAGTCGCCTTAGATGGTTTGGTCACATTAAACGAGTGGCTTCCACGATTGGCTGTTTTCGTGCCTTAGCTCCTTGGCTTCCTCGGTGGGCTGCTGGTTTTTCGTGCTGGGTGGCCTTTCCCGTGCCCTGGTGCCTCAGTTTCGTGCTTGGCCTCTTGGGTTTCTGCGGCTGCCTCTTCGGGTCTTGGTTGGGCTGTTTCCCGTGAAGTTGGGGAGGGGGGGGGGCTTTTCCGTGGTTTGTGTTGCTGTGGAATTCAATTATGGTGGCTGTTTGGTTTCTCCTCTCATACCTATATATAGAGATGTTTTGGTAATGTTTTTAAAAGAGTGATATATGAATTTTTTAAAAGAAATCCTTGTGATTTTCTTGGAAGAGCTTGCGAGCTTTGTTCACTTCTTCTCATCTCCTTTAGGAAAGACTTGCAAGTACTTTCCTCCCTTCTTCTCGGCTTTTAATCCCTTTCGTATCTCCGCAAGTACCACTCCATTGTATCCTTTGTCTCTTGGAAAGCATGTTTAGGTTGTGTCGTTTGTGTCGAAGTTGTAAGGTGTCTTGCTTGAGTCGATTAAGTCAAAAGTTTGTAAGTGCGTCTTGTAAAGTTTGTTCTTCCCTTTACTTAGTGTCTCTTGTTTGTCTTGTGTTTTTTGAGGTAATAAAGAAATCTTTCTCGGGTCACTCTCCTGTCCCCCCCCCCCCCCCCCCGAGGATAATTTTTTTATTACACCAAAGAGGCTTATGTTGTAACGTTTCCTTAGGACTTGAGAAGAGAAGTTATTAAGGAGAGGTTGGAGAAACAACGCTTTCAAAGGGCAACATTTGAGGTAGGAACACTGTACTCTACATATTCATGTTCCTTTAAATTGTTTGTTTTGAAATATCTCATTAGTTGATACATATTAAATGCATATGAAATGTCTTTATTATTTGATAGAAATGTACATTAAATGTTCTATGAATCAAGGCATTTTTTATGTTCTTAAACATATTAGAGTTCTCATTATGTGATAGTTAGCAATGCATAGAAGTTTCTTTTTATGCAAATTTGCCTCATGCTTAATGCATATGAATAATATGAAAATGTTACAATGCCAATCTATGTTTCAATGAAAAGAATGGGTGAATAATTGTGCATGTTGAAGGTGGAGTACTAAATATGGTGTAAAAGCACAAATACGGCTCTTATGAGCAATATGGCCCCTATGGGATAAAAGAGGAAAGGAAAAGAATGACAAAAAAAAAAGATATTTGTGTATTTGATCAGTACACTTCTAGTACTCTGGTATGGTTATATAAGATAAAACATAAACAAGCATAGACATAAGACATTGACATACATAAGACATATGACATAGTAACATAAACATGTGAACTAGCATATACACTTAGCATACACATAAGAATTAGCATGTGATACTTAGCAAAACAATCAAGACAATTCATTTCTAGCATATATATAAATTTTCATTTAAAAAGGCATGTGAAGATGTTAGAATTAGTGTTTCCTATTGAGTTCTAGCTCATTCCCTCATTTCGGAACATTTTTCAGGAGAATCCGATGCAAAGAATGGCTGACCGCCCTTGGTTCACCTACAGTCGTAGAGGACCAGCTAATAGGTTCCTCAGATGTCTTTTTAGTTGTAGTTTACTTCTTTTTTTTGTGGTTTAGCATGAATGATAGATTTTAAAGCCACCTTTTTATATATGAACTGATATATAATGATATGCAATGTTTAATACAGTTTGGAAAATGTTTAGAGGCGCTTTTAGTTTTCTTTTGAAGTGCTTTAGATTATTCAATGCATGATTTAAGAGAAGTTTATGTTTTGAATGTCCGATGTCCGTTGCCGCCTCATCTACACGAGCTCACTGGGCCAGGTCGTGACATTTGCCCCTATGAAGCATTTGTACCCAAAATAAAATAAACTCTATTCAACCAAATATTGAATAGGGAAACATCTCTGTTAAAATTAAAATTATGAATTTTGCTATTGAGTTCAAAATGAAATAATACTTTTTCCCTATAGGATAATATATTATTTTCGATGTCGTGCTCGATCATAAAATATCTTAATCCTTTTAGGATGACAAAATTTCTCTAACAGCAATATTATTTTACCATAAATTTTGGCTTATGAAATTTTGGAATTTAATGGATTTAACATAAATCCACCGGACCTCCCAAACTCCTCTTTCCAAGTCTCATCAATGTATTTCCAGCTAGCTCTCCTATGACTTCCTACTCCTTCATATCCTGATGGGCTGTCAATGCGTTTTCCAATAAGCTCCCATAAGCTCTCACTTTTTTCACATGTTGGATTAAAGCTTTCTCCAAGTGAATTCACTTGGCGGCTTCCTCGTCTTTATGTGGTTGGGGGCACAGGTGAGAAAAATGAGAGAGGGAATCAAAAGGAGAGAAGGCTCAAGCAAGCGGACAGGTTTGAGCATGCGAGTGAAAGTGCAAAAATAAAGAGATGAGAGAGCATGCATGGAAGAGGGGAAATGAGAATACACTTTGACCCTTGCTTAGATTTATTTTTTGGTATTTTGAAATGACCATTCAAGATAGTAGGACGGCATTGTAGGATTTGATGTGAGATTGCAGCACCATATGGGGGATTCAGGCAGCAAGATTTCAAGTATTTTTTTAATTTTGAAAATTTTAACCAATAGTAACTATAATAAATAATATTCATATTGACTATTCCTAGCCAATTTTGTCACCTTGAACATGTTTTGTCGTCATCTTTCACATGGGTGGGTTTTTGGATTTTTGTTATATGGCTACGCAAGTAGCATAGGTATACTTAAGAAATTTTTGTCATTCCAAACACATTGGCACTATCCATTTTATGAAATAGGCAAAAATTGGACAACTTTGAATGCGGTCAAGGTGTTTTAAACTACATTTCTTTAACTTCGTCTTTGTACTCTATCTTTTTTATTTTTGTTCGATCACATTTATTTCTAGGTCCTTTCTTGATAATTTCAACACTCCGGATGTTTCAGTGTAGTTTGTTTTGCGAAATGAGTGATTTTTAAATGATTTAGATTACCATCAGTACATCGTAAACCCAAATTGTGCAATATGGGTGATCTTCATCCGCTATTTTTTGTCGTGCTTGAATAGACTATTTGTGGAGTAGTTATGCATGTCAACATACACGATAAGATGTGATAAATTATTAGAAAGACAGGTTGTCATGTATAAAATAAAGCATTAACTTGTAAAAAAAAAAGTAATTCCATGCAAAATTTAAAAGAACACTTCAGATTTCATTCACCGCAAAAATATTTTGTTGAATGGAAGCAAGCTAAAACCACTAACCATTTCCTTCAATATCTTTTTAGAATTAACCTTTTTTGATGCCTTCTCATTCAGAAAAGCCAGCCCATCTGGTTGCTGAAAAGTCAATAAGTTGGTTTCTTTTAAATGAAATGAAAAATACAACTTCCGTTGAGAAGGGACAATTGCTTTCACAAAATGAAGAAGCACAATTATTAACTTCAACCAGAAGCTGATTGATGCATATGTTAAATATACCATACTTTCCCTACCATAAACAGATGTGGGATGTGACAAGTATGCAAGACCATTTATCTTAATTTCAATATTTCATTGAACATCTATCGCCGCATGTGTTTCACCTTATCCTAAGTTGATGTGCAGCATACCCATTTTTAGTCTGCCCAAGCATAAAACTAATCCTCATAAAGATACTTCGAAAATTTCCATATTAAAGGAACTGATTGATAAGCACCATATAATGTTCTATGAAGCATCATGTTCTCATATCAGTCAATTTCTCCCTCTATGTTTATCATCTCAAATTTTGTAAATGGAAGTAGTTCAACAAGAACCATGATCATAAGGATATAAAAACTGCTGTCAGATAAAAGAAAGCAATAAAATTAGTTCATCCCAATATTTCAAGTTAATTTTAGCACTTCTCAAAGCTTACAAAATTAATAAATATTCCAAGTGCGCGACTATCACAGATCATTAGTACCAATGCACCACTCTAACAACTCGGTATTAATTACGAACTTGGGTAAATAATTAAGATGCAACTCTTGGTCTTACAAGTAGTCTGGACAACTGCTGACATAATGGAAGTAATAGATAAAGAATTCACTGGAGGTTGAAATGCAAGATGTGGAAGTAGAAAAATAGAGTGCAGGACAAGGAAAATTGGAGGTGCAGTTAAGAAAGACAACGGACCAGGAGAGAGACAAATGAAAGGGAGGGAATTTTTTTTAAGGTTGATCAAAGCAATGAGGCACAGTTGATCACAATAATAAGAAAAACCTAAGGGTTAGAACAAAAACAACAAACATGAATGTCACATCCAAGCTAACCATCTGTCTTCACATACAACATTAAACAATGTGGTCAACCGTTTTTATTCAGGTTCAAACAACATTCAAAGTTCAGAAATAATCATTTTATAAGCCTGATAAAACTTACAAATAATCATTTTATAAGCCTGATAAAACTTACAGGGAACAAAATACCCACAACTTCCAAGGAATTAATTAACATAAAGAAAATAAGTATTCAGCAATAAAAAGTAATGATTAACTTTTAAAAACGCCATTGCAAATTTCAGCACTTCCAGCAAAGCTTAAATAGGGTGGTAGAAGCTGGAAGCCCACATGCAGCTAAACAAATACGACGACTTAGTTCAATCGAAAACCACATTTAAAATCAAATATAGTTTTCCAAAGGGAGAAGAAGCAAACATAAATATGACCCAAAATGAGTAAAAGCTCAAAATTGTCCCCGGAATATTAATAAATGTCTAATTTAGTCCCTGAGTTTCGCATTGCCCCAATTTAGTCTCTCAACTATTCAAAATTATTCAAGTTAGTCCCTCTATTAAAATTTCCATTTAAATTAACGGAAAAAGCCATAAGCATTCGCTACTGTCACACCCCATTTTGACCCCCTTAATCAACCTAGAGTATAAAAGAGAGGGGGAATCAGACTAGATATATTTCTTACTAATGTGCATATTGAAATACTTCTATTAGAATCAGGTGAGTAAGAAATAACCTATCTAGACTATCCCATTAAAAAGCACTTTTCTGTTTAACAATCTATCTATCAATTTCCTATTTGGAAGCATATGCCAATACATCCAAGAAATAAAGAGCATTACTAAAATTTCTAATGAAGTTATACACAAAGGCTTTTCTGTATAGCCTCCTGTTTTGGCAGTGTATAGAAGCCAAAATATTAGTATGTATGTATGTATATATATATATATATACTCGAAATTAAAAATAGGATAAAATGAAAATAACTTTTGACGTTTTTCATATGTATAAGAAAATAGGGTAAAATTTTGGGGCAAAAGTAAAGCTTACAATTTTTTTTGAAAATTTTAGTTATTATAATTCACCCCTCATTAAAAGTTTCACCCTCGAAATTCTTTGTTAGTGGCCATCAAATAAATGAGGGAATTTCAGTCTAATTTCTTCTTTCTTTTTTTAGGGCGTCTCTTTTTCTGATATGTATTTCTATTTTACTTTGACATAAGATTCTGATAATTTTTTAATTTTTTAGTATAAAAAAATACTTTTCTTTTTGGTTCCTCAGTGTAAGTCATATCCTTTTATAGGTCAATTTTATCATGTAAAATTCTATAACGGGCATTTGTAACACATTTCCTTTGTAGTGACACAAAATATTATGAATATCTGACATGTTAGCTGGAAGAGCAAACCTGTAAGAAACCTTATTAATCTTCTCAATAACTTCAAAAAATCCTATATACCTAGGACTCAATGTCTCATTAACCAAATATGGTTATACCTGGCTATGCCTTTCATAGAATTAACCTTCAAAAATGCAAAGTCACCAACTTCAATTTCTACAGCTCCGTATTTGGGCTCATAATATTTTTGCTAACCATCCTGAGCAACTTTCAATCTATCTCTAATTAATAAGATTTTCTTTGTTGCATCATCAACTAATTCTCAACCCATTAATTATTTTTCTCCTACTTCCACCAAAGTTAAAGGAGTTCTGCACTTCCTACTATAAAATGCTTCATATGATGTCATTTGAATACTTGATTGATAACCTTTTTTTTTATTTTTTTTTTACTTGATTGATAACCATTTTGGTAAATTCTATTTGCGGTATGTGATTTTTCCAGCTACCTATAAGATCCAAAACACAGTCTCAACAAATCTTTTAATACATGAATCTTTCTTTCATATTGACCATCAGTTTGAGGATAAAAAATTGTATTGAAGTTCAAATTTGTGCCCAAACTTTCATGAATATTTTTCAGAAGTCTAGAAGTAAATCTACCATCTCTGTTTGAAATAATAATTTTTGGAATGTCATGCAATCTGATAATTTCCTTCACATACAAGAATATCAACTTGTCTACTAAATTAGTTTGCTTGATAGACAAAAAAGTGAGTTGATTTGTCATTTTACCAATAATCACCCCAATGCTATTATGCCCCTATCTAGATCTAAGAAATCTCATAACAAAATCCATTGTAATATTATTTCTCTTCCACTTAGGGATAGGTAGTGATTGCAGTATTCTACTAGGTTGTTGATGTCTTGCTTTTACAATTTAGAATGCTTCACACTTAGACATATTCAACATCTTTCTTCATACCTGCCCTCCATAAAATTAATTTCAAATCTATATATATCTTAATACAACCTGGATGAATTGTACAACCAGAATGATGAGCTTCTTGAAAAAAAAATTCCTTAATTCTGGAGCACTAAGTACCCACAACTGAGATTTATGCTTAATAATTTCATCAATATCAATAGAAAGATCTTATCTTTTCCCCAATTGAAGTCTGTTTCATTAACTTTGAATACTCACTGTCATCTTATGTAAGTATTCCATATTATTAAAACTCCTAACCTCCAATTGCAGATTCTTTATTTCTTTGATCAACTAAACCTCTTGAGTAATTATCCAGTTCACCATTCTAGTGGATTTGTGACTCAAAGCATCAACCACAATATTAGCTTTTCTAGGACAATACTGAATACCTATATCATAATCCTTAATTAGTTCCAACCATCTTCATGCACAGATTTAATTTTTTTTGTGAGAATATATATTTTAAACACTGATAATTAGTGAATATTTCTCATCTTACCCCATACGGGTAATGCATCCAAATTTTTAAAGCAAACAATACAACTACCATCTCTAAATCATGTGTGTGATAATTTAATTCATTTGACTTCAACTATCTTGAAACATATACAATTACCATTTTTTCTGCATTAAAAACATCCTAAACCCTTCAAAGAAGCATCATTGTAAATCTAAAAACCTTCTAATCCTGATGGAAGTGTCAAAATTGGTGATGTAGTCAGATATATCTTCAATGCTTGAAAGCTTTCCTCACATTCTATAGTCCATTCAAATTTAACATCCTTTCTCATTAGTTTAGACAATGGCATAGCAATTTGTAAGAACATTATGTAGTATCCAGCAGTAATAATCAGTTCAATTCAGCAGGTTCAATTTAGTTGCAATAACCTAGCAATAGACGAACAGACCCAAGTAGATTAGGAGCAAAACAACGAACAGATCGAGCCGCCCGCATGTGTGAATTCTCCAAACATAGTTGGATTACACCTTTGAGTGGAAAATCGCGTACGGGAGTGAAATTTAGCGACTCCTTGAGCATAATATCCCCGTTTCACTCACTCTCATAAGGGCAAATCATGTGAGAAAATTTTGGTCGAGAGAAACCGATAGAAAAGAAAAATGAGAAGGTAGATTTTTTTTCAATTTCATTTATTTTGTACAAATTTCTTCTGTGATTTAATCCTATAAAAGGATCAATTGTCTTAAATGAAGGTAGAGGAAGGAATGGAGAAAGAAAGTGAAGGAATTTTGGAGAGAAGAAAATTTTGAGAAAGAATGAAATAACGAAGGAAAGTGTAATGATTTAAATTATAATTGTGGGCTTCGAAAATTCGGCCCCGGCCTCCACCCGACTATTTTTTGCTTTGTTCTTTTGGCGAGCGAGTTTTAACGGAATAAGTTTCAGGGTAAATTTTGGAAGGCAGATGGGTTTGTAGATAAGACACTACCCAGAGATTTTGCCCTCATTTTGCGAGGGCTTTATGATCTGAGTTCTGGTTTCCTATAGGCACAAGCCCCTAAAGTTAATTACCCCTCCCGGTCTCGAGAGAGAACTTTCGATTAAGACTAGTCATCAATCAGATACGTTATATCCGTAGATATGTAGTATCAGGCATATAGTAGCAGCAAAGACATGGATATTGGAGATTTGGTATTGATATTTGAAATGTTTGGAAGTTTGGGAATTTGGTTTGAAATATTTGAGAAGTTTGATATTTAAAACAGAAATTTCACCATATTACACTTAAAGTGGATGGTGGGGAATGGATGATGGACCCGATCAAAATCCGTGGCCATTGCCTTGAAATGGACTCTTTTCAGGCTCATTAGTGTAGTAGACTTTTTACTTCCAGTGTTTGTGGATACCCGAGCTATTTTCTTCTTAAGGAAAAGACCAACAAGAAACTTTGGAACACCAGGAAGTTTAGTTCTAATTTGTTCAAACATCCCTTTCTTTCTGTCGGGGTGTCCTTTTTCGTACATCGAGTTGCCCTCGTACTCGACGTATTTGAAGATCTTAATCACCATTATCGTAGGTGATATCTGTACTTGTGCCCACAATGGTTCGTTGTGCTTACGAGGTATCCACAGTTGTTATCCACAAATATTCATTTGTAGGGAACCGTTGTATCCACTATGACCTCCGAGAAGTATTTGTAGAAGACCCATTGTTGCCAACATCATACCCACCTTTCACCAATCTCAGATGGGTCGATGTTTGTACTTGCATGTAGGGGCGGGTCCTCCACTATCAAGTCCCGGCATTGTCATCTCAATCTACAGGCAATGTTGTTAAAGTTGGAGGTTTCAACAATGCGTGTAGGGAACACATGCATTTTGGAACCATTCGTTGATCTTGCAGGTACGATGCACCTGATCTCGTAGAGATTATTATAAGAGTCCAATATATTCTTTGTTTGAGGTCTTGTAGCGTACTTGCTTGTATCTCGATGTTGGTTACGAGGATATTGCAATATCTTCCCTACAAGAGCTCACGGGTGTTTGTATTCATCGCACTTTAGCCACATTTGTATACAAGGATCAATGTAATTCTTCCGACATTGAGTCATTATTGGCCATACAAATATTCTTGTAGTTTGAGTTCCCTCGTTGTCCAACTCAAATACTCGCTTGAGTTCAAATTGTTTAAGCCATTAATGTTCAAGTCCATATTACAAGTTCACGTGTTCTTGTTTAATTCATCTCATTTTCAAATTGAGTTCAAGTTTTAATTTTGTAAGTTTCATTCGAATTCATTTTCGCTATACTTGATCCAGATCAAGCCAACTTCTTCGTGTCCACAATTTTGTTCAAGTTCCACTTGATGTTGCAGAGTTCGAATTCGAAGTACATGTTCAAACGCTTGTTCAGAGTGTTTTAAAGTCCTTGCAAGTTCAACAAAATACTCAAATTGATTTGAATTCTGGTTCTAATTTGATTTTATTTCATTTGGGTTTGAACTTTAGAAATCATTTAAATTTTGTTCAAGTTTAGGTCCACAAGTCCACTGTTCATTTGAGTCAAAGTTCAATGCTTTCAGTTCAAGTACGAGTCCTCTATTGTCCTTCGTATTGCTGCTCAAATGATGTCTTCAAATTGTTCAAGTTTTGTGTACTTCGGTGAAAATTTCGACAGCACCCCGACATATCCCCCATTTAGGAGAAAGTAGGGGAGCTGGGCCTTCCCACCACACTACTCGAGCGTGCATGGTAGGTGTCCTTAAACACCGTGGCCGTACATCTTTTCATCCCACCACGCAACAAGAGCGTGTATGGGGCCTTCAGCAGTACCCGTACGAGAACACCAGTGACATCCCCACAACGCTACAAGAGCGTGTATAGGGCTTACCCACCTCGTCGTATGCGTCGCACCGGGCTCCCTCCTACCTTGGTACAAGAGCGCGTATAAATGGTTCTCCGGTCCGCCACAAATGCCGACAATGGGATTTTAGAGCATCAGACCTTGGATAGCAGTCGTCAGCGGTGTCGAGGTCGAGGACTGTCCCCACAACGCAACAAGAGCGTGTATGGGGCCTTCAGCAGTACCCGTACGAG